TTTGTGTCTGGCCCGTGCCACGGGGTCCTCCTCCGTGGCATTTGGCCCGTGCCTTGTTGCTTGTTCCTTTGGCATGACTGGGGATCTTTGGCAGGGATCATCCCATGCCTAGGGTTAGGATGAGGAGAGAGACGAATACTAGAGTTCCAGTGTGACTATGGCTGCTAAGGGACTGCCCAAGGAAGACCAAAGCTGCAGAAAGCAGCTTTTAGGCTAAGGCTCAAACCAGGTCTAGGGTTAGTGTTAGGACTTGGATTAGTTTTAGGGTTAGGAGTTTGACAAACTGTAGAGCTCCAATTTGAATAAAGCTGCAAAGGTCTGCCCAGGAAAAAGCTTGTCTCCCAAGAAGTGTTTGCTCTGGCCCATGGCTGGGGGGCTTTGGCTAAGGCTCAGCACACACCTTGCGTTAAAGCCAGGAGTTGGCATGTTTGGGGTTTAGGAGACCAAGCATAGAGCTCCAATGTAAGGGGGTGGGGGGAGCTGTAAAAGGGCTGTCCAAGGACTGGTAGGCTGCCAAAAAAATGTTTCCCCTGAGAGCTTTTCCATCTGGACCATGGCTGGGAATCCTTTTGTTTGGATTTAAATTTTGAGTGTTGGATAGAGTTAATTTCAGGAGAGGAAAAAAGTCTGTAGTTCCCAGATTAGTTGAGATCTTCTGTGAAGTCTTCAGTCTCTACCTCGAATGAGTGCATTGCACTGATAGGATCAGAAGGGGACATTGCATTAATGGGAGGGAACAGAGGGAAGAAAATTCATTTTGCGTACTCTTTTTTTGGATGGGGATATTTGTGGGTTTTGTTTTTCCACTGGGGTTTTGTCTTGTAGGTATGTTGCCAGGCTCTGGAAACTTTACCAGTGGTATAGCATTGCAGAACTTTGCCTCCCTGTCTTTCTATGCTTCAGTGATTCCGTCAGTGGCTATGCAGCATATGATAACCCTTGGCCTGTGTTACTCTTCCTCTCTTCTACTTTCCAGCTTAAAAATTCCTGCCGTGTCTTCCTGCTATAAGAAAAAAAGTGCAGAAATGGAAGTAACTATTTTTATTTTAGTGGATTTTTATGTAGCAAAGCACAAGGAGACACAAAGCAGAGCCGGGTAAATGGGGCTTTGACATTTAGACAGAGATCAGCAGTGCATCGCACCCTGGATGGAGGGCTTCTGAGCAAAGGTGGTGATGGAGCCAGGGAACACCATCCACTTCTCTTGAACTCATGACTCCATTTTGATTCAAACTGAACTGAATGGGGAGGCAGGAGTGAGCGTAGGTGACATGATCTCTGTTTCTTAAAAAATTTGCCCTTCAAGTATAACCACCAACATTCAGCTTGATGAATATATATCTTTTTCTTTGCTGGAAGAAATGAATCGTAGGATTGAATCGTATGGGTCTCAGCAGTGAGACTGGCACAGTCAGGGAACATGCCATGACAAAGCCTGCTATGATCCACGATGATGATCCTGTTGTCAAAAACCCGCCAGCGGAATTGATGGCCAATAGAGATGGGATTACTATTCTCTGAATAACCACCACGCACCTCACTGCTATTCTAGTATTGGGCATTGTCTGCACCAAGCAAAGACTGTGTTTGTTATGGAGCTACATGAAGGTCATCTTTTCTGTCCCCAAAGTCCTCCTATATATGGTGACCAGAAGTGACCTGGAAGTAGCCTGGAATTTTTAATGAAGGGGTTCCTGAGAGCCATGAATGATGTTGGAAACAAGGGGTTTTGAGGAAGCTACTAGGAACAATCTTCAAAAAGCAGACCTGGCATCCTACACTGAAAAGGGAGTTGGGGTGTTGGGCGCAGCGCTGACCAAGAAAGCGTGTTCCTGGGTCCCGCTGACAGAAGAGCACCAAACAGCTGTGTTAACCAGACAGCTCCTGCTAGGAATGGAAACTTGCATCCAAGTCTGAATGCCCTCGTTTGTACCATCTCTGGTAAGCTACTGATCCTGCATTGACAATCCTGACTCAAAGTGATCTGGCTGCGAGCTGAAGTTCAGGGCGAATTTGCATGTGAATTGCTAATTCAGCCTTCTCCTGAGCTGCCCAGGGCCTGTGTAGCACACTGAAGTCAGAGGAAGTGCTGGTTAAGGACCTCCTGCAATGGACGGTGCTTGATGCTTTAGTTCTGTTCTTCCAAGTGTTCTGTTGCAAAACCTTCATCTATCTTTGAGCTATGGAGCACAAATAAATTTACTAAGGATTGGGTGTTGTTTTGCTCTGACCTTTCTGTCCCACAGAAGAATATCTCATGGTGAGCAATTACTTTGATTCATTAGTACTCTTTCAAGTACTTTTTCCTCTAAGAAACACACTTTTGGAGGTAGTAAAATATTAAGCCTTTTGAAGCATGAATTCAATCACTAGAAATTGAAATAAGTCCTTCACACTTTGTAAAAGGAATTTAAACTTCCATTTATAATGAAAATAGTACTTTAAATTTCGATGTGATTTTGTTAAAAAAAGTGAATAACAAATTAAATTATTTGCTTTGAGGTTAAGGGGTTATTTTTTCACAACCAGTATTGCTTTTGGTACTGTATAATTATTATTGCAAACCCAATGGCGTTGAACTAAGAATCCCATATTCAAGTGCTATTAAAAGTAATTTTCATTATATTTTTCTGAAACATTTGAATCAGATCATATGAAGTCAGGCAAATGAGGTAATATACAATATGTGTCCACTGTTCACTCTCCATAATAATTGCTTCAGTTACACTTACCTTCTCAAATACTGTTGCTCCAATTATCTTATTTTGCAAGTCAGGATCTTTTCAACTGCTCATTTTATCTGGAGTCAGAACCTACATTTTACATATCCAACATATAACCTTTAATGGTAAATTCATATTGATTTAAAGGAAATTTTTCCAACCTAATAAAAATAAACATATCATTTGAAATATTTGGAAGTGAAAGGAACAGATACATATGCCTAACTACAATATGCACTTACATATTTTTTTCCAAAATCGTAGTCTATATTATAGACATGATTTTACATACACAAGTGTAATACTATTTTAATTTGTATTTCCCAAATGAACCAACAATTTCCTCTTGTTGTATACATTGTATTAGTGCTTGTGTTTTCAGCTTTAGCAATTTGAGTTACTAGCAGTGTATGTACAAACACTGGCTCGTGTAAAGACTATACTTTTGACTAGCCTGAACTAAAATTCAACCTTGCTAACAGTGCACTGGAAGCTTTTTTGACTTCGGTACAAAATGAAATCCTTTTGAAAGGATGCTATCCTCCTAACCCATGAAGAAAGGAGACACAAAATTAAATGCCTCTTCTTATACACCCTTATGAGAATCAGTCCCTTTGGACATTACTAAGTGATATGTTATAGTTCAAGGAGAAAAATATTGGTTCAAATTTTTTTTAGACCATATAGGTTGTTAGTTTTCAGATGTTATTCTCAGAGCAAGTGTATTTAGACATTTCAGAAAGATTCTAATTCAGTTTTTAGGGCAGACAAATTTTCTTTGGGACTTGAAAGGAGTTGAGCTTGTACTCTGCCCTCTCATTCCTTTGTCAAGAACCTCAGTCAAGGATTTGAACATTTATTGATTACTTAGTTTTCTACAGTCTAATTAATGAATTTAATTAATTAGTGGAATTCATGAACACATTTAACTAATTAAAATTATTACTAACACATTCCGGCTTTCTAATGAGATTGCTTTCCTTGCCAAATGAGTATCAAAACCTATTTTATCGAAATCATCTTCAAGTCAGAGGACAGGAATGCAGTCCAGAATATCTGGATTTAATTTTCTTTTGTTAACAAAACGCATTCGGTGTGGGTTAGCACCGTCTGTATTTGCCCCTTTTTTTTCCTCATTTTTCGTTCCTCATGCTTGCTCAGCCAAGGTGTCACCCAATGTTCTCATTTATTTCCTCCGTTCCTCTTGATAATTACAGGCCTTACAGGTACTAATGTAGTTCGTTGGTGACTCCTCCTGTGCTTTTCTCTGGTAATTGATAAAGCAAAGTAGTTAACTGAATAGTCAACTTACGTGTGCTGCGATACATTGATTTATCTTAAAAATTTACATAATTGGTTTAGCTATGATTAGTTTAAAAGGAGTTCTTCTCTGAGTATATGGATAATTTCTGGTAACTATTTATCACCATTTCCTTCAAATAAGGGGTGGAGCTAATCTTGGAAAGAGCTTTGTGTGTTTGTTGGATGGAAGCTGAGTGCTGCCCCAGTTGAAAATGCTGACTCATCTCAGTCGTATTTCCAGCTAATTTACGCTCGGCACAAAGCAGCAAAAGAGCTAAATCGTACCTTCAGAGGAGCAAACTAAAACTGTTGCTTAAACAAGTCCTTGTAAACTATGGTGTTTGGTGAGAGAGGAGAAATATGTTTTCAAAGGCATAGATAGGAGTAGATTTTCACAGAACATGGATGCTGACATGAGGGACGTATTGGGTTTGTTTGTCTAACAGCAGCAGAGCTGAACAATTGCCAGTAACTCATCTGCGCGATCGACATGGCAGTGGAATGGGGAAGGCTGCACGGTGGTTTACATCTTAGAACCCGAGAGCCCTTCTGCAGTTTTGGGGATCTTTTGACTTTTAAGGTGTCGGGATGTTAGCACATACCTGCACCTCTATGCAGTTCAAGTGACATCAATGGGCTTGGCATCAATTTCTGCCACAGTAACCTTGGTGAAATTTCTTGGTGAATTTTTCCTGGGACAAGGCCAGTCTGTCACTTCTGGATTCTTGTTCCCTTGAAATCAGTAGGACCTTCCATCAGCAGTAAAATCCAGATTTCATTCAAATGTGTAAGCAATATTTTCTAGCAATAAATTTGTTGTGTAGTTCTTGTTGGCTTTTTTCCCCTATGCTATTGGAATTTAATTAGCATAGCACAGATTATCTTTTGGTAAATACGCAGCATGTTTATAAAAGCTAAATTGTCTTCTTGGTATGTTTCACTGACTGGTAAATTTTATGTTTTTTATTTGTTCAGATGGTTTTTTGGCCCAGTCAAACGAGCAGATGCCGAGAGACAACTGTCATACCCTGGAAACCAGGCAGGAGCCTTCCTAATCCGAGAAAGCGAAAGTCTAAAAGGCGAATACTCACTTTCAGGTATATTCTAGTTTTTCAACTTAAGCAACGTTTTAAAAATTTCTCAGGTGATCTAGACTTTTTCATTTTTGAGAATGATAAACTATGGACATGAAAATGAAATTCAGTTCGTAATAATATTTCTTTCCCAGGAGATGCATAAAGAAAACTTGGCTGGAGTCATTTGAGTTTTTACTAACGTTTATTTTATAGGCTTTGTTTATTAATATGCTCAGAACTGAAATTAAGTTTCTTATGCTTAGTACTTACAGTGTGCCAGCTGCCTTAAGATAGAAACTATTTTCATGATTAAAATACAAAAAAAATACATTACAGTTGTGCACTACTGTTCTGAGTAGTACACAAAATAAAAATTAAACTATGTTGGCAGATATCTGCAGTTTAAGAAAATGAGATTACTGCTAGAGCACACCCTTAGGTTCATATTTATTTGTTTTCAGGGGCAAAATGATAGGAAGATCTTCAAAGCTGTACTTTAGAATCAGTCATATTTCATTGAAAAGGTAGTTGTAAATATCAGTAAAAAGTCAGATTTATGATGATGACGGGTTTTGAAATTTATTTAAAGTCCTTTACTTGAGTCTGAAAAGCTATCAAATAAGGAAACTTATTTTGTAATAATTTTACTTACTCACATATATGTACGTCATCTTTTTCATGTCATAGATATTTTATTGCCAAGACAAAGAAATACAGGGAAGTTTATTAAATAAATATCATATTTACAGTTTTGGGAGAGTTTACTCCATGGTCTTCAATTTGCCCTCAAGGAAGATTGTTCTTGCCAAGAAGTGCTGATAAGAAAATTAACATCAGCAAGGAATCGGACTGCTCCCAAACTGTGACAGAACTGTCCCCTGTGTGTGCAGACTTTTATCCAAAGATGGTATTAGAGCCCCAGACCTTTCAAAAGGCTTTCCCTCTATATGCCAGCTTATCCCTGTCTTACATGGTTTCAGCTTCCTTCAAGTGCTCTTCATCAGTGAACTGATTTCATCCAAGGACTGGACTAGACAGCCTGGTGTTATGTAGGGAAGGATAGATAGGCCTGAATTATCTGCTTAATGCTGGCACTTGTATACATGGCATCTTACTGAAAATCAATGAAAAGTCTTGTGCTTGTGCACCTAGGAGTGGAAATGCAATTTCTTTTTATTATTCTCCAACTGTAGCCTTGTAGGAAAGATTCAAAATCTTAATTCTTTACCCTGCATCCTGACTACTTCTGTAACAGGAAGGCAGCAGTACCTCATTTAAACTACAAAGTACTACAAAGAAAAATCCAAGAGAATGAAAATAAATACTAGGCCAGCATTTGTGGTAGGATGAGATCATCTTTGATGCCGCTATTTAATTTTTTCCTTACGAATTGTGGATAGAAACTACATTCTAGCTGATTTAATATATTTGATTCAATTATAAAAGCTCATGGTAGACATTTTTCAGGTTTCTATATAAGCTTATTCAGGAATGGGAGATTTGTTGGTGGCTGATAACAGCCAGATATGAAACCATCCACGTGGATTTCTTCCGCGCTGGTTTGTTTGATGCAGGAAAGAAAGAGTGGCACTGAAGAACATAATATACGTGGAGGCAAGGCTCCAGCAGCAGGAGCCAACCCCTTCGTGCACAAACATGGGTGAGCCTCTGAGCACGTATGCATGTATATATGTGTCATCTCAGATTTATTAAACATTTGTGCTCTTTTAGGCAAAGAAAGAGAATAAACTCTGAAGCAGTCTATAGACAGTGAGTATTAGTGACGTGATTTACCCGCGCTGCTAGATCTTTTAGCAGCTTCCCAGACTTGAACATAATTTAGCCTCAACATGCTACTTCATCTCAAAGAGCTAAATATTATTTGCTGCTTATTTGAATGGCTTGACTGAATGGTGTCTGGTTTTGTTGTGCAAGCTTTTTTGCTTGCAACCTAATGGTATACATAATGGTCTAGACATTGTATATCCATAATCTCATTATTTATTTCTACTTTTGGCGAGCTAGTGCATTCTAAAGCAAATGATGAAGTAGATTGTACTGTGGGGAGTATTAATTGGAAGGAAGGTTGTTCAGTCCGCCAGATGCTATGGAGAAGGCAGTTTTTCTGACTCTCTCCTCTTTGTTCCATCAGAAGGAGTTATGAGACACTCAAAGCTGAGGCAGAAAAGCCCTGTTTTCTTGAGGAAGAGTGGTTCAGAACTATTTCTCTTAAAAGGTCTTGGATGACTTCTGTCTCCATGGTAGCTGATACACTGACAAGGGAGAAGTCACAACCTGATATTTTGGAATAAGTCCCTAATTTCTGTTTCCAATTTTTTCAGTGCAGAAAGAACAGACTCCATAACTCCCATCCTCTGTAGGACTGGCTAGAAGAGAGACAACCTGGCTTTCAGAATTAATGTCTTTAAGAAAATATTGTAATTCTCTGCCCAGCCTAACATTTAGGTGTAATAAAGCTAAAAAGGAAAAGAAGTGGAAAAAGAAGAGAGATTTTTACCCAAATTTTATGACTTTCATGCTTGATTTCATACTCATATGGGCAATGTATAAGAGACTTAGTGTAATGAGGGAGACAAATGGATCTCCTTAGGGGAAAAAAAAAGTGAAAAATAAATAAGTAAACCCTACCTTTCATTAAAATGACACTTTTCAATTATAACTTGCTTGATGGGAAAACTCACAATTTGTAAGATTTAGATGATAAATGACTATTTAAATTAAAACCAAAAAGTCTTATTCATAAAGGCTTTTCTCATCTGTGAATGGTTAAATGGAAAGCTCATCAAACCAGATAGGCCACTGAAATGTGTTGCTATAATTTTAAAGTGTTTGACATTTTAAAAATAGGTTTTCCCATTTTAAAAATGCACATGTTGTCGACAGATTTTTATGTTGATGACTCCAGCATCTGGTGTGAAATGTATTAAATTTTAAACATGTTGGTGCCATCGTAGACATTCCCTCTTTTTAATTAAAAGCCATAATTTAGATGTGCTCAGCTTAATTGAGTGTCATTGCCAATGATAGCAGGAGGCTCTCTGCTTCCCCCCTCACTGAATAATGGTATCCGAAAGACTGATTGCATTAAATGACAATGTAAATGGTTTGTGTTTTCTTCCATTTTTTTTCCACGCTCCTAAAAAAGATTGTATGGTTTCCTCTAGGCTAGATCAGGTTTCAGCACAGGGAAAAATAAGTAATTGTTTAAGGCAGCAGACTGGTAGGAGTGGCAAAACCATGGCCATAGCAGGAGAACGATTTTGGCTCAGGCCCTGCACCTGTTCTGTGCTGGTCCGTAACCCACCCTCCTTCCGCATCCACCCTGGGCATGGGGACCGAGCACAGGTCCTGCCAGCAGCACTGCCTGGCTGGTGTTGGGCGAGGACGGCTGACGGGGACACTGTCCGTAAGCGTACATTAGTGTCTCTGGGATTCACTTGATGAAGGTGTTGGCTGCCAATGCCACCATAAATTTTGCTGCCTTGGGGAAGGAGTAGTAAATTATTTTATTCTCATCCTTGGGGTGGCAAAATTCATTTCTGCATTGCCCAATCTGATGAAGATGGGAAGTAGGGAGAGGAGAATGCTTCTGTTAAACTGAAACCATGAAGAAATCTAAAAGGGAGCTGCGATTCTTTTGGGAAGGGCAAGTTGAGGAGAAAAACACTGCAGTACTCAAACCCAGCTGCTGTCAAACTGTGTGAAGCTGAAGTTGCGATCCTGTCCTGTTCAGCAGTCTGGCGTGGACGTAAGGATGAGTGGGAGCACGGAGGGGGTTATGGCGGGCTCTTCCCTGAGTGACACGTGCCCTATGTCGTTTTGGGCAGAGGATCCACACCATGCTGCAGGACTTGTGCAGCCAGACTCAGCCCTGGGGTACGAGTAAACAGCCCCCATCAAATACTACACTGATCTCAGCTGCTTGTCACAAGAAGGGACGGTATCAGCGTAGAAAGTTTCTCCTGCTTCTCCACACCCATCACCACCTGACCTGGATACTGCCAACCTTAAGACTTCATACAAGGCTCATTTAAGAAATCAGAGCACATCCTTCAAATCAACTCTTGCATTAATATTAGCTCCTTCACAAGTAATAATTATAATACTGCTAATAAATAAAGCAGGTAGTCAAACTACTATCACTTGTGATATACAGCTGAGACTGGATTAACACAGTCATCCTGCTGGCCTTTTATTCAATGCATCATAAATAGCAATTCATTTGGTCAGATGCACTTTCCTGTGAACTTTGGAGAAGTCATTACATTTTCAGTCTGTTGTTACTGAATTACTCTTTCCTTCATTTTGCTTCAGCCCCATTTCCAAATGATACAGCACAAAGATATACATGCATTTTATACTTTAAAAATACTAATTATGGGTGTTAAATTAAAAAGAAATGGCATTTGAAAAGTGTGATGTAATTATCTTTATACTCTGGAGTGATATTTACAAATATTCTTATTTCTGGTCCTCATGCAGAATTGTAAGTTCTCAGGTCTCTAAAAATACTACCTGTGGCAGAATGAAAATCCCCTAATATTTTCAGCAGTTCCTATATGCCCTCTGGTGTTCTGGGCTGACAATCGCACAGTACAGTAGAAGAATATTTGATCATACATGATGTTACTTAAGGAAGGAGAGATTTTCCTTTTCAACCTAATCACTTAAATGGTGAGAGAAATTGTATCAGCTTTGTTAATTGCATGCGACCAATAATTTTCTATAATTTTTTCTACATACAATATGTAGCATTATGCTAAATGACATCCCATGTAAGCAACTAAATCTCTTTCCAGCTCTTCAGAACTGACCTCTCTGCTGACATTCAGCCCACGATTGCTACCACTGATAGTCCTTTATAACAGAGATCTCTAAGCTAGCGGTCTCCAAACTTGTTTGATTTTGCACCCCTACCAGTAAAAATATTTTTGACCATTCGCCCCTGATTTTTGTTTATTTGTAAATTATATCTATTCAGTACTGTACTGATAGATTATATACATTACAGAACATACACAAAAAAGAATAAATTAAGAAAGGATGAGATAAGGATGAAATAAACAGTATTTTAAATATATTTTTTTTTTTATTAATGGTACAAAAAATACTTTTTTCCTACACCCCAATGTATTGTCTTGTGTGCTCCCTGGGTTGCACGCACTCTGCTTTGGAGACCACTGCTCTAAGCCATATGTGACACAGACATCAGAAATGACATTTACAGGCCCAGTATTCCTTAAATAGCACACTAAGTGAGTGACAGTGCATTTTTTGTCCATCTCTGGTCTGCTGCTGGCCCAGGTCTAGCCGCAGCATGCAGTGGCCCAGCCTTCCTTCTGGCACCCCTAAAGAGGGCTCTGACAGTCACAGGGAGGGACACTTGGGATGTCCTGACATGCAGGTAAATAACCTACAAGAGGTCAGGAGAGAAAAGGCTTGTTGATTAAGAAACAACAGATTAGACTAAAACACATTTCAGTGAAAAGGGAGTTGTCAACTGCTCGAAACAGAGCATTGTTGGCCTGATTTTTACATATTCCAAACATGCACAAAACTCAATAAAACCCATGGAAGATGTGAGTGCTTTTCAGAGAATCATGGCTGTGTGGAGGGTGTATCTGGGCAGCCCAGCAGCTGCTATTGGGAATGTTAACACTCATAAATGAAACACTAAAACCGGATTAAATGGTTACTGTGAATTAGATGATCCTGGCTGGTTTTGGTGTCCTAAAAGATGGAAGATAAGAACTGCCTCACAGAAGATGTATTTATGTATTTTTGCATCAGTTCTTATGGTGCAAGCAGCTCCAAACCTGAATGGTTGAAGACCGATAGACTAGATATGTTAAGCTAACTAAACAGTGGGCTTTGGTTTGAAAGAGATTTTTTATAGTTGTTATCTTTGAAACTAAAATAATTTATTTTAAGGTTCTCATAAATACATTTAGGAACCTTATGATCGTTTGGCCATAAGCTATATTGTACCAATGCTATAATTCCTGGAAACTTAATATTTTTAAATCTTCTTAGTTTTTGATGGTGTATCTGTGAAGCACTACAGGATCAGAAAGCTGGATGAAGGAGGCTTTTTCCTAAGCAGAAGGAAAACTTTCAAAACTCTGAATGAGTTTGTTGACTATTACAGTAAGAACAGTGATGGCCTCTGCGTGGTGCTCAGAAAGCCATGCCTAAAGGTAAGAGCGGATGCTACACTGTGCAACGTATTTTTTGTAAGCTAACTCATCAGGTATCAGTCAGAAGGTGTTAACCCCATGTCTGCTTCTGCCATTTCAAAATGTTGATGATCTGCTTGTTTTCAGGAAGTTCTGGGTAGTGCTACTGTTTCATTCTTGAAGCTGACATGTTAATAATAAAATACCATGCCATTTTGAACAAGTCATCATGTGGCTGGAGGAGAAAATTTGCCAAATCATGATTTATGAATACCTTTTAATAAATGTATATGGAGATGAAATCTCCAACTTCATAACTCTAGCTGTCCATAAGTAATTACTGAGACAAAACCACAAGGTTCAGGCAAGCAATACGTCACTGTTCAAAAAGCTTGCTAGAGGGATGATTTCTAATTTTTACTTTTAATGGCAGGATATTTTCTTTAGAATATTTCTTATTTCTAACAAAAAGTACCCAGGATGTGGGCTGTATTTCATGTTCTCAGATCACTTTATCACGTGTGTGTATTCTAAGGAAATATTTATATCAGCTGCAACTTTACATGACATAGTTAACAATGAATGACTTGTATATAGAATCATAGAATCATTATGATTGGAAGAGACCTCAAAGATCATCAAGTCCAACCGTAAATATGCTGTTGAAAGAATATTAGAAGTCTCAATTACTATATTATTTATTTTCTTCTACCAGGTGCAAATTCCTACTACTTTTGATTTGTCGTATAAAACTGTTGATCAGTGGGAGATAGACCGACAATCTCTGAAATTGCTGAAAAAATTAGGATCTGGTCAGTTTGGTGAGGTATGGGAAGGACTGTGGAATAATACCACCCCCGTGGCAATCAAAACATTAAAACCAGGTATGTGAATTACTCTTAAATGCTAATAGTGTAAAATGTTAGAAAGGGTGCTCCTTTATTTTTCAAATGCTACTGAAAAGAGAACCTATCCATCTATGCAACCATTCTTAAAATTCACACACTTAAACATGAAGGTTAGTAAAGCTCAAGGTCCAGATATTCTTTGGTATTTTCAATTACAGTTTCATACAGTTTTCTGTTTCCGTATGAGCTGAGCTCATTCTTATTCAACATCTATGTTACATAAAAAGGCAACCCCAGCAAGGCCATCTCTTTTGCACAATATTGCTTGTCTGGAATTGAATGACTACATTTCATCTGTAGGCGAAGTAATTCATTTACTACTGGTTTGTAATCTGTAGAATTTTTTTTAGTGATTAGATGCTATATTGTAATGATTCCTTGGGTAATATAGAATATGTATTATATTAAGTTTGTATTTAAGAAGTGCTTTAATCTTAATATTGATTGAATAAAATTTCTCAAAGTTTTTGATACATTACATTAATACCCAATATTTGCATATAATATAGCCTTGTTAGTAATACAGCTTTTAACATTTTTCATAATTATTTTTCATTAACTTCAAGTAATTTGTGCATTTTAAATTGACAACATAAAATAGCTGCCAGCAGATGGCAAGAACCACATAGATAAGAAAGGTAACCTGGATGATATACATGTTTTTTAAAAAAGTGATAACAATATAATGAGTTGTGGTTAATTGAAAAAGCTTGTGTTGGGCATTAATGATCATATTTCAGGAAGCAGAATGGATTCAGATCTTTAATTCAGCATAACAACAATATGCTTGAGTCCTACTTGAACTGAACAGGGAGGAATTTAAGCACGTGTTTTAGAGCTATGTTGTATCAAGATATTGTTTGTGTTTTGGGACTTGCAAATGGAAAGCAAATAAGCACCTTTTTTTCTCTGCTTAACTCAAATTAGAAAAACTGCTCAGACTAAAGGCCTTCTATAGTTCATGTGAAAGACAGCATACTTTTTTCAGTGAACTGGTGCATCTCCCCAGTGACCCAGTAAACATAGAAACCATCTTGAAATCTCTTTGTCCATTTCCCTTTCCTAAGACAGTATCCACTAAGCCTATACCTTTTGTGACAGGGATCCTTATGGCTATTTTTATTGACTTCTGAAACCACAAGTCTGAAACCAGACTTTTTCTCCTTGTGTCTGACCTGAATCTTTCATTCTCCAGTACAAGCCCATTACCTCTTGTCTTATACATCATGACTAAAGAGTGCCTATTATTTTCTTCCTCTTTACAGCAGTGTTGTGCATACTAGACAACTATTATCAAGTTCCTCTTTGGTCTTCTCTTCTTCGGGTTAAACAACTCAAACAGATCCTTTGTGTAGCTCAGATGTTTTAGGTGTTCCATTGTTTTCAGAAGATCTTTACTGGGCTGTTTGAAGGTGGTAACCATATTTTTCCCAAGTATGATGCTAAAAGGAAGAAGTAGTCTAGATGTGTAAAGAGAGGGATTTGCTTCACATTTCTGACATGGTAGACCTCTGCTTAAACAGTCCAGTATGATGCTTGCCTTTCTTCTCCATAAGACAAGAATCTAATTTGTCCATCTGGGTTTACTTTCCTTTAAGGATTTAATGCAACATCTGAACAAGTCTGTTTTATTGCAGAAGACTGAAGGGTCCTTATTAAAGTGTGATATCTCTTAAATGTTGTTTAAAGAAGGAAATAAATGAAGCTAGAATGAAGAACAAGACTAAGATATCTTAAATTTTTGTGATACTAAATTTTCTTTTTCTTTCCTGTTTAAGAATATATGTGGCAATTAGCACTCTAGGAAAAGACTTGTTTCTCATCAAACAAAATAATTAGATTTTGAACAAATTGCAATGCATACATTTCTACTTATTTTCTTTAGCAGGAAAGTGGAGCTGACATTTATCTAGTATTGCATATGCAAAAATGGGAAGTTATCTTAATCATATTTCATCTCCTTCTCTTAATAACTCATTTCAAAACTCTAATTCAGCTTTTCCATCTGTATAATGGGGACAGTACATGTTATCAGTTCTCTGTGAAGCAAATTTCTATTTTACTAACGGATTGAATCAGAATGACAAGACTACCCAGAGATACGTGAAACACTAGTGGTGAGTTCCAGCTGCAATTTGCCTTCTTTTCTTTTTTTTTTTTTTTTTTTTGTTTTTTCCTTCTTTTTTTTTTTTTTTTTTTTTTTTGTGATGCTGATCGGGTGAATGACTGCTACTAATACTCCACCTGAAGAAAAGGAAGAGTTAGTTAATTTTATATCTGAAACAGATTTTAATGTGTTTAAGACCAAACTGATCTGTGGAGATCTGTTCTTTGGCTGCTGTTGAATTCAGTATCCTTTCAATACCTTGCTGATAAAGCACACAGAGAACACAATACTCGTAGAGCAACACGAGCAAGAAAAGAAGGTTTTTTTCAGTTTCTATAGTAATAGCGTATCCTAAGAATGCACTTACAAAATTCTGTAGAACAATAAAAAATGATCACATAAACTTCTTCAATAGGTTTGTTAGCTAAAAAGTAAATTTTACACTGGAATAAACATAATATTCTCTGTAAACTCATTATGACGTACAGACTAGCACAGTATAGTGGAAGAAACCCCTTCAACTGTGATACTTTTTGTAGTATCATAGTTCGGCTGGGAAAAAGGGTTTGATTAATCAATACTTTTTCCATCTCTGTTTTGTTCACTCTAGTCTGACTCCTGTTAAGGTCAACAGTGGTAGTCTCATTGATTTCACAGTGCATTATATTGAGTTAGGGCAAACAGAAGCCCCACCTGGATGCGATGCTTGAATAGCAGAGAGCTTGCGATCTAATACTGTGATAAGGAAGTCGTGCATTGCACTTAGTGATGCTCAGAATGAAGACTTCAATTCTTAAAACCATCTTCATAAATTATATAGGAATACTGAATCTCTTATCACTGCACTTTGTGAACTATCTCGTCCTACAAAACCAGTTCAAACAATCTCAAATGGAAGCATTTAACCTTGTAGTATGCTTTTCTAGGGAATTATCCTCTTCTACACAATGTCTTTCACCATTTGGAGTGCCTTACTCTAATCAGTTAACACATTGGTTTCCCATAGCTTGTTCTCATCGTTACTCATGAGGAATAACATTTCAATAATTAAAGAAAAACCCCAATACCCTCACCCTAATCTGGCTAATAAGTACTTAGCTTGGTACTAATAAAATTACAGCAAAGTCTAAGTCTGGTAATTTCATTCTTCATAATATAAAGATGATAAGTGAATGGAAAACATAATAGTTCATGAGTAATCAAGAAATACATCATGTTCTGTGTTGATGATTGAAGCTTCCAATATCCACATACGCAATATTTCAGGCTTCAAGCGTAACACACTGTAAAACGATCCTCTCCTGTTGCTTAGCTCAAAGATCTAAATCAGTTGTCTTTACACTGGGGGAGGAGGGGTTGAGTTTTAAATCAAAGTCTTTTTGCTAAGCTGCTTTACAGTGTAGACCCACTGGAAAAGAAAATCATCAGAACAACAGAGAAGTGTGATAAACTGAAAGCGATCTGGCAAATATGGGGCATTGAGATAGAGAGGGTTGTGTAAAAATGGCTTTACCACCAGAGAAATTGTGACAGGGAACCATGCTGTCATTACCAAGCAGGAGCAGGTTAATCAAGTAAGGTAATCACATAGCAAATAATACAGAAGAGCATAATGCAATCAGTCCTGCAATTAGTCAAACCAGGACAATGTTGTAGATGTATAGGCCTGAAGGCCAGAAGGGATTTCTGCTAGTTTGAGTTTTTCTGTTGAGCATTATTTTGCAGTGTACATCTGTCCTAGATCACATATAGTCTGAATACTTTGCTGTTACATGCCGTTGCATTTTACCTCTCTACTGAGACAGAATATTTATATTTAATCAAAACACAGCATCTTCTGGTCTAGATGATAAGTAGAAGTCTTCTAGTCCTGACCTGGAGGCACGGAGAGAAGTTGCCTCTGCTGTCTTTGACAGTTTGTATCAATGGTATATCACTATACCTGTAAAAATGTGGGCCCAATTTCTCATCTGGATTTACCTGATGTCTTCTCTAACTTTTGTTATGTCTTCTCGTATAAAATAAAAACCTCCTCATATACATTATTTTTTCTTTCTGTTCTGGAGATAAGTAGAGAGTGAGTTAAACAAATTTTCAATTGCCTTTAGAAAGGCTAAATATAGTTTCTTGTTGTATGCTACTCTCCTCATTTCTCAAATAGTTTTTCTGGACTTACACTGATTTCTAGCTATTGCTGCTAAAAGGCTTAAAGTGATTGTGTTTAGGTAGATGACCTTCCAACCTGTAGGAAAATTAAACTCCCAGAATTCTGGTGAGATGGCAGTGATGGATTTTTCCCAGAGCCATTTCTCACTTGATGCAAATGTGTGATTCCTGACTTGAGAGTAATTGGGGTATTCAGAAATCTGTTTCCATTCCAATCTGGAGCAAGAGCCAATTTTTGAGATATTGCACACAAACTGAAAATTTCACAAGTGTTTCTTTCAGAAACATTGATGCGTAGCATACTAGCTACATTTTTCCTATTTTAGACATCTAACATCTTAGCTATATCAGGCTTTTTTAATAATTAGTGGGGAGAAATAAGCACTTAAGTGTCAGATAAATCATACTATACTATAGATTAGAAATGTACATTACAATGAGAGAATAACATGCTATTAAAGCATGCTTCTTTCCATTGATTGGACAACTAACTCAGATCTAGGTGCCTGAATAATTGCCTATGGTTGGAGGAGGTGAATTCAGCTACTAACAGCGTTCTGTAATTCCACAGAATTTACAACAGTTACAAAACTGAGGAAAATGTTAAGCTGGTGAAGCCTATGAGATCTTAAACTGGTCAGCCTGGGAGCCCTCTGACCAAGAAGTGCAGAAGGATTGGGGTTTCCTAAGGAGGCCACAGGAA